ATTTCCACTGGCCCTTCGGCAAGTTCATGTGCAAGCTGAACACCGCCGTCAGCTTTCTGAACTTGTATGCTAGCGTCTACATTCTGATGGTGATCAGCATGGACAGATGCGTGTCGGTGGTTTGGCCAGTTTGGGCGCAGAACCACCGAAACGTACGCAAGGCCTCCTGGGTGAGTCTTGGAGTCTGGGTGGTGGCTTTGATTCTCAGCGTTCCATACTTGGTCTTCAGGGACACCGAGACGTACCCCGATGGTTTCACGATCTGCTTCAACAACTTTGCTCTTTCCAATGACTACGAAACGCCCTCCGTGAACCAGTTGCGAGAGTTTCGTCATGAGGCATTGGCCGTCGTCCGCTTCCTCCTGGGGTTCGTCGTCCCCTTCACCGTCATCGTCTCCTGTTACACCGTCATCATCTGCCGCCTCAGGAGAAACCCAACCCTGGCCAGCCAGTCCAGCCGCACCTTTAAGATCATCGCTGCCATCATCATCACCTTTTTCCTGTGCTGGGCTCCATTTCACATCATGGGCATTGTTGAGTTGGTAGCATTCTCGAGAGGTGTACCAAGCGAGAGATGGCAGTTTATCATCACCGTCAGCGTCCCCATAACCACCAGTCTCGCCTTCTTCAACAGCTGCCTGAACCCACTGCTGTATGTATTCATGGGCCAAGATTTCAAGGATAAAGTCTGCAAATCCATCCTGAAGGTCGTGGAGTCAGCCTTCCATGAGGACGAGGAGACACGCTCCACCAATGACACAAAAACAGGGGAGAGCAAAGACAATTCAGCAGCTGATGATACTGAGGTGTAAAGGTGCCATGAAGACACTTATACTGAATGTCCATTGACACAAATGTCAATGTAAACGTCAAAAGGCTTCTTTGGCGTTACACAACTTGTACATAGTGTCTCAGAATCAATCCTTTTACAGAGATGTGGTTTGATTTCTATGACTTTTCTGTATGCTTTGTTAAATAATAAGAATCATCAAGACTGTGTTGCCTTATGTGGGCAAAACCTTCGCTCAACAAGATAATGGAGTATTTTTAATTATACACAGCAAATGGATGCACCAGATCTATGCAGTCTTGTTGCGGGCTGCTCTCTGACTCACCATGATTGAACTAGAAAGGATTGTAAAATATCCTGTCATTTCAAAATCAGTATTACGTTAGATTGGCGGTTGAAATTTGTGCAACATGAGCATCATAAAAGTGACGTTTGTTTGGCAAACAGGAAGTTAACTAAATACACAACAATTCCCAACAAAGGTTGTCTTATTTGTCTGAAAAATTTTTTTAAATCTCCATTTGACTCAGAAACATTTACTATATTGTCTCGTATTTTATTATGTTTGGGGATAAGATAATATTCCACTATAATAATCATCATCATAATAATATTCCTTAGAATGTTTTTTTAATTATTAGTGATGAACAAAAAAAAATCCTGACCTGTCATACATTTCAAATGGTGTATTTATTGTGTTTTTATCCCATGTACAGTCACAAAAAAGCAAGGTTTTGAAATGATTAAAACTAAATGTAAATGCAGGTGTTATAGTGTCATTTAGGAAATAAAAAAAAATCTTGAGCTCTCCTAATTCTAAGGCAGTAGTGTCAGCAGTGAAATATGCACAAAAAAAATAAAATAAAATGGAACAATTTCATTGCATTGAACAAAAATGATTTTAGTTTGTGTGTTCATTTTCATGATCTTGTCGTGTTGATCTCTTCCTGTGCACTGATTCATGGATGTCACCATTCGTCACATCTCCCTCTGCATCCCTCTGCATCCTGCTTCTTTAACGTCTAACCTGCCTCCCTGCCTTCGTGGCTTTGTTGCTCTTTGTGTGTCTGGGTGCATGGCTGTGTGCTTGATTGCAGCAGTGAAGACAGATGATTGGAGTCCCACCTGCTGCAATCAGATCTGTAATCAAGACGGCTGCACTTTGCCAGATTTTAGACTTCACTACCAATTGTGAGCCAGTTTTTGCTTGAGCCTTCTGTCCTCACTGCTTGTTTTTCTCCCTCTCATCATGTCCTGTCACTGGCCTTCTCTTTTCCTTCGACTGTCTGCGTGTTCCTACTTTCGAACTACAATTCACCAAAGGAAACAACCTCCAAGCAGCAACCTGCACGCTGAAAATGTAAAGCTTTGCCAAAGACGTATAATTTTTTTTTTATTGACAGTGCTCACCTTCCAGCATGCAAATGTTTCACCAAAACAAGTCCGTCCCCCGTTTTTATTTTGCAGGGACACTGTTGCTGCATCCTGGGCTTGCCACCACCTAGGACATTGGTTTAGAGTAGGGGTGCCATGATATATCAGCAACCACATCGGTATCGGCCGATATTAGTGTTTTTTCCCCATATATCGGCTGATGAACAGATTTAGCTGATGTGAAAAACCGATGATTGTCTAACATTAGCGGCTTAGTCTCTACATTTGAATTGCTGCTATTTCACAGATGTTTTTACCTAAATAGTTCTGGACTTGAATGTTAAATATGTTCAAATATGTTTAAATATGTTTTACTTTTGTTATGTAATAAAGAAGACTATGGGACTATTGGAATGGACTTCTTTTGAATAGTTTTCACATTCTCACAGTGCTTACTTATACTCATTTTTTGGTGTGAACAAAAATTGAATATCGACATCGGTAATATCGGTTATTGGCGATATCAGAAATCTTAATATCGGCCTAGAAATTTTAATATCGTGCATCACTAGTTTAGAGAAATATTAAATAGCAAAAGTGTTTTCCTGTGTGAGACGAAGATCTGAAATGTTCCCAATATGTCATTCAGAACGGCCACACTCTTAATTATGCATGTTCTTCAGTTACAATACAATTTAAATTTAATGAGTTATGGGAAAATTCAGCCCCTGTATGGTTGTCAAGAACGGGGAAATGAGCTACGGAGGCCAAAACCACTTCTTTGTACCAGGCTGTGAGAATGTTTCTGCCATAAATTTGGACATTCCCCTTCGTGAAACCTCGCAATCAGCTTTTTAGTTCCTCCAGGCAAATTTGAAATTACAAATATGCTCAGTTTTGTTTCAGCGATCACAGGCTTGTTTAATTTCATTGGATTAAGTTTCTACTTTGGACCTGTATTTTTAATGTAGCCTTTCTAAAGTATTTGTTTTTGATTGTTCATAAGTTCATACTGTTTGCTGACTTGGAAATAATGCAGTTATTGAGAGGTAATACAGTTTGATTTGGCATTTAGGTAATTCTACACAGGAATGTACCAGTTGTATTGCAGTTCTTGTTGATACCAAAATGTATTGATTAAAAATAATATTGGAGTTGACTTCTTCTTTTGGTTGTACATCTCAAAAATCCCCACATAACCTCAAATAACAATATGTGACTAAAGTGGTGCCAGCAGTGTTGACTGAAACATCCTGTGCTTGCTCAAACTCATTTCATCACCTACAAATAATGACAAGTGTCTTTCAAAATGTCTGTTTAAATCTGGAAACTGACAGGAAGGACCACTTCTGAAATTACCCATATATGTTAGAAAATGACTCATTCTAGCTCCAGGTGAATTTTTACTTGCAGGGTTGGATTATAGTTTATTTGTTTTTCAGCTTCAATGTGTCAGTGCAGATGGAATCCAGGAGATATGTAGCTGCATCGTCTCTGATGTTATTCAGAGTTTATCTATTTGCTATTTGAAACCAAAAACTAAATTCTGGATTTTATTTTTGTTTTTTTTTTTTAGTTCTGATTTTACAGTATTTCATATGTTGTCAGACCTGGAAATCTTTGTGTTTTTACCCTTTTAAAAAATGAGAATGCCACACTCATACTGTAACACTGCAACACAAACCTTGTTGGCTTTTATTGCTTTAGTTATTTTCCACTATTAAAATATAATTTGAGCTCTTTTCAACCCAAAATGCATGAAATAATGTGCTGCAGAACCAGGTGCACACAAAGGACAGCAGACTTTAGAAGGAAATCAAGACTGCAACAGTCATTTTTAGCCTTTGATGGTACAAACTGATTTGCTATTTGTGCTTTTAAAAGCTGAAGCCCACTTAATGTGTGTTCCAGTCCTCATTAGTCAGTTACAATAAAACAAATACTATTTTGAGCAGGCCTTTCGTGCAAGCGTCAGATTTAATCAGAAGCGTTTAATGGATTTCTGTTATGTTCTGATCATTTCGATTAATTTAATAGCTTAAAAATAGAATGTTTTACTGATAATCTTGTGATAGCAGGTGGTTTCCCTCCAGCCATCAATTTTCTACCACTTATCCAAAATCAAGTCACGCTGACAGTAAGCCAAGCAGCCCAGATGTCCTCCTTTTTCTCAGCAATGTTTTCCAGCTCCTCCTGAGGGACATTCCTGGGCTACATGAGGCGTCAAATCTCTCCAGCGTGCTCTGGTTTTTACCACCAGTTGGACATGAGTGGAAAACCTGGGCACAGATGGTATCAGTCTTGCACAATTCTGCAGAGAGATTGTTTTCAGCAGCTCTTTGCTGGAGGGGTTTTGATGCCCTACCTTTCACTTTAAAATATTCCAGAGGCGTTCCATTGGAATTCATGTCACTTTTCACTTCCTCTCCTGCCAAGCTTTTTGAGGCTGCGAATCAAAATGTCTTTCAGTATCTGGGTGTACAAATCTGTGGTTATCTTCGCTTCATCTTATGCGCTCAGACTGTGAAATATGTGGTCGGTGCATACAGCAACCACACCGGACCCCATCTGATCCAAACAAATTATTTGTGGACCAAAGAATGTGCTGCCAGTATTCATCAGGCTTGTTTTGTGTTCTTAATCTTGCAGGTGTGCAGCATTTTTTTCTTCTTAAACCTCAGAGATTAATTTTATATAATGTCTGAGCAGTCACTGGAAAAACAAATCACCTTTGTGCCAACTCAGAAGAACTCAGCATCTGCTTTTCAATGCACGGTTGCGTAAATCTCAAAAAGTGCACAGCATCATTTTCAAGGATGGCCACTGTGCCTGCGTTATTGGTGGACCAGCGCCTCCTTTTCCACCTAACCACGACTGCACCACTTTATTTTTATATTTTTTCAGTGAATGCCCACATAATAAAAGCCACTGGAGGTTAATGCCAGCCTTTTAAATTACTAGGCATATTTATAGGAGGTCTGTATCAGAAACATGAGAAGGTCCTGCATGCTTTATTGCAAAATGGGAATTTATTCAGTATAGAATAAAAGACATTTTCATCCTTGCAACCAATGTTAGAAAATATAATAAAAGCAAGAGAGGCCCGTGTCTGAGCATATTTATTTTTGTAAGTTGTTTTTTTAAAAAGAAGACAACAAAAAAATGACTTATTTATGCTGTGGATAGCATAAATTACTTTCATTGCTAAAGGAAGTTTTATCTTTTTGCCTTTATTTGAGAGAGAGACAGGAAAGCGGGGGAGAAGAATAGTGGAAGGACCTGCGGACTCATAACCTCCATGTTCAGGACTACAGCTCCTGTATATGAGAGGCCAGCTTCACCAGGTGAGCTATAGCAGCGACCCGGAAGCGGCAATTTTTAACCAAAATCTTCATTCTTTTCTCTAAGGGATGGATAATCTCCCATATCGTGCCTCAAAGAAGTTTAAAGACTTGTGTGACGCTGATGAAATAGATCAAGACGTTCATTTTAAATATCATTTTTAAAGGACTTGGGAGTATAATTGAGAGAAATGTTCAAAGACCACAGACACCCAAATTATTCATCACTGCAGCTGAATAACATCACAACCTAGCCAAACTAAATATATTTGACCAACAAATTATATGGGTCAGTTTGTTTAAGATTCCACCATTTTCCTTAAAACAAATACTGGTATTTTTTCCAAGAGCCTCTGACCTCATATATTTTTTTTTTTAAAAGCAGGGCTGTCTGTGAAGGTTCCCTCACTGAGGGTTACCACATACCTATAAAATCCTGCACTACATTCCTGGGCATCTATATGACTAAAAATATAAGTGAATTTTAAATGTGCATGCTTGAAAGTGGTCAATCTAAACTCAACATATACCCACAAACAGACTGTATATATTGTACATGTTCTTTCCCATCTTTACACCAAGAAGCAGAGCCTTCAACCAGCTGAACTTTGATTTTATATGGGAATAGTGGACGGAATGGATGGAGGACTACAAGCTGTGAAGGAAAAATTACCTTCCTCTATTGGAGTTAAGTTTCTAGAGATGGTACTCAGCTTTTCCCTTTATCTCCTCTGACTGACCTCCTTATGTAAAAGTAGTATTTGTAACAGATGTGTACTAATCGGCAAATCTTCTACAGATTCTTGACCTCATGTAGATCTGTTGTAGGAGTACAGGCAAGCGCTCCCTGTTCCTCTCGAGGCCAGATTGCACCAAGGTACCGAACTATCTTTGTTTTCCTCTTACCCAGACTCAATGTGGTGCACCGAAGGTAAGAGGAAGGAGTGAGAGAATCCTCTGAATTGCTGGCATTGCATGCGTAAACTGCTGTTCTGTTAGTTTCACTTCTCCTGATCAGTAAACCATATTTCAACCGAAGTGTTCTGAGTCTTCAGTGTGTCTGTCTGTCGGGTTCCTCATCCGACATCAACCTCTTCCAGAATTCCACAACACAAACAATATAGTGAATTAATGCCACACAAAATAATGACAGCTTTTGGTTTTGTTAAAACCTCCCAAAGCACAACAC